AGGCGGAAGTCGGGGCGGGCCCGGCCGCTCGGGCCGCGGGATCCGGCGTCTCGAACTGCGTCGTCTCGGCCGGGGGTTCGCGGGCGCCCGGATGCCGAACCCGCCGCTGCTGGTGCTCTTCGGCAGCCAGACCGGCACGGCTCAGGATGTGTCGGAGAGGCTGGGCCGCGAGGCCCGGCGCCGGCGGCTCGGCTGCCGCGTGCAGGCCCTGGACTCCTACTCCGTGGTGAGGCCCCCGGGCCTCGGCGGGGAGACGCGAGCGGGCCCGGCCTGCCCGCCGTCAGCGCCTTCCCCCCGAAGGGCGTCGCGTTTTGTCTGAAAACGGGCCCTCCTTTTAGGGCGGATTTAGGGGAAGGGGGGGCTTCGCACCTGGAGGGTAGAGCCTGAAAACGAAGGCGGGGTGGCCGCTGGGGTGTTCACATAGGTCCCTTGGCCCTGTCACCCTGAGTGGAGGAGAGCGGGCCGGGTTTCGGGGAGGACGATTGGTCGTTACTGCTGGAGGTCTTACGTATGTTTCTTTCTGTTGAGGTGAATCTGATTAACGAACCCCTAGTGATATTTGTTTGTGCAACCACAGGCCAAGGAGACCCCCCTGACAACATGAAGGTAAGACTGGCCTAATGTGGCTCCTCAGATCCCGGCCCTCGACCCTCATTGTCTGGAGAGTCCAAGGAACACAATAAATAGTTGCCCTCCTGTCTCCATTGCACCTGGGGGTGGGTTTGAGAGGGTGTCTTTGGGTGGAGCAGGGGTTCTGCTTCTCCTCTATAATAATCTCTTCATAGCCACCAAACAGCCTGTCGTAGGCTTTAACCTTTCATATTTTTCCAGGCTGTGTATGAATGTAGTCTGGGTCTTGTCTGGATCTCTAGAATGTATGATCTTTGGGAAACATTGTTTAATTTTTTGAACATCTTTGAGCACATGTTATATTCCTGGCACAGTCTAGTGCTGGGGATCCAGCTGTGAACCAAGTAGCCACGTTTCTGCTCTCACGGAGCTTGTGCTGTAGCAGGAGGAACGTGTTTAATGGGCATTTACAAAGCAAGGAAATACCTTCTGCTGGGGAAGTGCCCGATGTTGCGAGAGCATTGATAAGGGGCATCCAGCCTTATCTAGCCCAGCCTGGGAGCTCAGGCAGAGCTTTCTGGAAGAAAAGAGCATAGGCTGAGTCCTGAAGGATGAGTGGAGGCTAGCCAGGCACCAGGGAAGAGGGAACAGCCTGTGTGAAGAGCCAGAAGCAGATAAGGATGGACAAGCTAAGGAGTGTGTGTGTCAAAGGCAAGAGGGGAGAGAGGAAAGGGAGGAAGCCAGGTCCAGTCCAGGAGCCTGGGCAACCACAGTGAGGCAGGTGGGCTTGAGGTGAAGAGCTGTGGACACCGGGTTTGGGGGGTGCCCAGTCACGTTCATATTCTAGCGAGACCAGTACTCGTCTTGGGGAGCAAGAGAGATGTCAGGAGATGCACAACAAGGCGAGAGATGCTGGTGCTGTGAGCTAGGGTGGGGCAGAAGGTGGACAGATGTTGACATGCTCCAGAGAAGTTAGGATGGTGGAACCAACAGGACATGTAGCTGATTGGATCCGAAAGAGGAGAAAGAAGGTGGAATCAAGACAGGTTTGGGTTGTGGAACCAGGACAGATGATATTTCCATCCACAGAAATACAGAGCGTGGGAGGGACAGGGCGCTTGGAGACGTCAAGCACGCAGTAGGTCTGGAGCTCAAAGGAGGATCTTGGGGTGGAGGGAGATGTTGAAATGGCCAAAATACAGAGGTGTGAGAAAAGGAAGCTCCTCCTCCTCCCACCCTGTGGCCCGTACCCCCACCCCAGGACAGGCTGCCCTGAACATTAGGACACTGGAGGGCAGGAAAGTGGCCAATCAGCAAGAAGAGGGAGTATACCATCCCAAGGTCAGAAGGAGGGTGTTTCAAGAAGGGCTCCAAAGAGAGAGAAGTCAGATAAGGTAAGGCCTGAGAGGTGTCGGTGGGATTTATCAGCAAAGGGATTGTTGGTGACATCAGGGAGAGCAGTTTCAGGGGCTCGTGGGGAGATGCCGGATCACAGGAGATCAGCAAGTAGGCAAGTGGGTGAAGAGGGCCGGCCCGGTGGCGCACTGCTACAGTGCGCCGCTTGGGAAGCGCGGCAGCGCTCCCGCCGAGGGTTCGGATCCCACATACAGACCGGTTCCCGCTCACTGGCTGAGCGAGGAGCGGGGGCAACACCGAGAGTTGCAATCCCGTTGCCGGTCCCGGCCCGGTGCGGGCACGACACTGAGGGTTGCGATCCGTTGCCGGTCACGAAAAAAGACAAAAAGGAAAAAAAAAAAAAAGTGGGTGAAGAGAGTCTTTTAAGAATGTCTAATTATTAAGAAAAGAATTCTGGTTGTGAAGGGGCTAAGGGATTAAAAAGAAGGTATAGATTGGAGAGACTCGGCAAGTTTAAATGCTGGTGGGAGGAAGGTGGTGTGTACAGTGTGGAGAAAGAGGCTAAAGACCAAAGAATGAGGACAGAGTGGGGATGATGTTCAGAGGCCGGGGGTAAGGCCTGAGCACAGGTGGGGGGGTCTCCTCATACAGGATGAGGGGCAGAAGAGAAGGCAGGCCAGGGGAACAGAGGCCGGAGGTGAATGGCAGGGTGGGGAAGATGCAGGGAGAGGAGAGGGAATGGAGACCTCCCTGAGGTTTGCGCTGGTCTGAGCAGCACGACGTTGGTGGTGGTCACGCCAGGACTTGGGTGGACAAAGCAGGGAATATTGCCGGAGACGGGTGTCCCCCAGGAGAAGATGAGGCATGCGGGAGCCAGGGTCAATCACCCTCCCCCACCACAGCAGGAACTGAGGACGTCTTCAAGAGGCTGCAGACCCAGAGCACAGGGACATGGAGGCACGGGTGAGGCTCCTCGGCAGCTGTCTGCGTGCCAGACAGGAAGACCCTGGCCTCCTTGTGGGGTCCTCTCTGAGAACACTGCAGTGTGCTCCAATGTGACAGGTGGGAAGGGTCATCTCTGGAGAAACTGAGGGATGCAGTAAGGCTGAGCAGCTGGGCTCCTGTTCCACTCCTGGCAGCAAAACCTGCTGGGTGTCGGCTCGTCCTTGAGGTTCTCTGTTAGCTTCTCAAGTACAAATAGACCACAGAGAACCACCACATGCTTGAGGAAAGACCCCAGTGAAAGGTAGAGGTTAGCGCAGCCGTGGTTCTCTCGGCAGAGGACATGGGTGCCCGCTATGAGCCCAGACCACAGGAGCACACAAGGACAGGACAGAGCTGGAGATGCAGGGAAAGTTCTTAAAAAGGGTATCAACAAACTTTAAAAGATTGGAAGATAAAGTTGAGAGAGTCTCCCAGAAAGCGTGACAAACGATGAGATAGAAAATGGAAAGAAGATATCAGAATTCAAAGATCATTCCAGTAGCCTAAGGATGAGAAAAAAATAGCAGAGAGGAAATTATGGAGGAATCTAATGAAATGTCCCAAAACCTAAGGATGAGTGTTCAGCCTGAGAGAGCTGGCCACGTGCCTGGGACGAGCCTGCCAGCTGCATCACTGTGGGTTTTAGCTGTTGGGGACCGAGTGCCCTGATGGCTGGCGGGGGCAGCACAGGGCACACACACGGGGCAGCAAGGAGGGGTCCTGGCCTCTCAGCAGCAACCCCAGCTGGAAGAGTCCAGGCAGAGCCTCAGGTTCTGAGGGAAGAAGACTCAATCCACCGTATGCCCAGCCAAACTGCCAGCCGTGTGAGAGGGAGGAGCTGGGGCATCTCCAGACAGGCAGGTCCCTGAAACTTTTATCTTCCCTGAGCCCTTTCTCAGGAAGGAGGAAGTTCTCTACCAAAAAGAGCAGGGAAGAGCCCTTTGGGCTTTGAGAAGCGAGAGTGTCTCATCAAGAGAGCACCCTGGGGAGGCCCGAGGAGGTGGAGCATGTTGCTCCCTAACCACATGGTCTTTTTTCTTTTTTTTCCTTTTTGTCTTTTTTCGTGACCGGCAATGGATCGCAACCCTCAGTGTCGCGCCCGTACCGGACTGGGACCGGCAACGGGATCGCAACCCTCGGTGTTGCGCCTGCACCTCGCTCAGCCAGTGAGCGGCCGGTCTGTATGTGGGATCCGAACCCTCGGCGGGAGCTCCGCCGCGCTCCCAAGCGGCGCACTGTAGCAGTGCGCCACCGGGCCGGCCCCAACCACATGGTCTTGAGTGGTGGCACGGGGCAAGCGGGCAGAGCTGTGTGCCCAACAGGGTCAGGGTTCCTTCACCCAATCGTGAAGTCTGAGGGTCCCGCTGCCACCTCCTGCTTATCTGCAGAAAGGGAGGGGGGTGCGGGGTGGAGCCTGAACCACACCGGAGGCCATTGCCACAAGGGCTTTGGGGATCCCTGGGACAGGAGGTAGGGAGGTGGCAGGCAAGCGCCCCACCACTGAAGGGCTGTGCGCAGGCAGAGGCTGCTGCAGAGGAGGCTGCAACCCAGTCAGGGAAGGAGAGGGATGTGTCCTAGAGATTCTTGGGCTCAGACCTCAAGGGTCTGGGTGTAATGTGCCCTGGGGAAGGGGAGGCCCAAAGCCACTCTGTGGCTATGCAGGCCTGGGGTGTCCCCCAGCCTGGGGATAGCTGAGCCCGAGGGCGTCCTGAGTGCACTGCCCTCACTGACTGCCACCTGCCACCTGCCTTCTTCAGCAGCCCCCACCCTGTGGCCATGACGCCTCTTCATGGGGGTGGCTCTGGGGGTAGCTTTCTTCTCTTATGATTTTATGTGTTTTTCCAAACTTCTTGACAATGTAATAAAATAAAAAATGGATTTGTTGTTTTAATAGCATAAAGCTCTTCAGGAGCAGGTGGGTGTGGCACCCCAGAGGGGATCCTGCTCAGACCTGGAGCTCATGCAGCCCAGCCTCCCGCTGGTGGGGTGGAGGCTGGTCTCACCAGGCCCTGGGCCAGCCCTGCCACCGCCCAGCACCTTTTCATCCTGCAGGCCAGCTGGGCCCGGCCCTTTGGCAGTTCTTTCGGTCTGGTCCGTTTTCTTTCCCGTCCCTGAGACTCTCCCCTCCCTCCCCACCGCAGACAGCTGCAGGGCTGGCCCAGAGTGGGTACTCTAATTCGGGGTTTTCTCTGGCTGTAGAACTTCTGGAGATTCATATTCCGGAAGAACCTGCCCTCCACCTCCCTATGTCAGATGGACTTTGCCGTCCTGGGCCTCGGAGACTCCTCATATGCCAAGTGAGTAGGGGGTGAGCAGGCTCTGGCTGCAGGAGGACAGTTGTGCATGTCAAGTGAGAAGCGTACTGGCAGGGAGACAGGAGGCCCAGCCCTTGGGGTGGCACTGGTACGTCCTCACCCACAGATGCTCCCCAGTGGACAACCTGGGCCTCGCAGTGGGGGGGGGGGGGCATAGACAGGAAGCAGGTAGGGCGGCAGAGTGGTGGGGGCCCTGGAGCAGGCCAGGCTCAGAGACAGCTGATGTCACACCTCAGTACACGGTGCAGGCTGACAAAAACCTGCCTGGCACCACTCCACACTTTCTCAGAAACATACCGTCAGGCTTCTGTGACTTAGAGCACAGGGACACACACAGGCCACGTTCTCCACTGGCAGGGAGTCCACCCCTGGTTTTTCCTTTCTGCATTTTCACAGCACACATCTGCACCCCTGAGCAAGGAGAGGTGCTACTTTGCAGCATTCTTGGGGAGATGATGAAGGATTTGTGTTTCAGAGTGCACGTGGTGGCTTAAGACATCAGGACACTGAAGCCACCTGCCTGCGCAGTGGCTGGATTGCCAAGTTTTGCTTGTCATTAGGGCCGCCTCCAAAGCTGCATGTGTGGCTAGGTTCTTGACCACCTTAGATGAAAAGGACAGAATATGGGAAAACGGGTGGCAACCAGCCCGGTTCTCCCAGAGATTCTGTCCCTCATGTTATAGGTTGGTAGTAAGCGCAGGCCTGAGGGTTGGGGGAGCCCCCTATGCTGTGGTCTCTCTAGACTCAATCATAGAGGCTCAGCCATTACTGCCCGGTACCACTAGTCAGCAGGCTGAACTTATTGCAGCCACTCGGGCCTGTATACTTGCAGAAGGTAAATCACTTAACCTATACACAGACTCAAAATATGTTTTCCATATACTTATATCCCATGCAGCAATTTGGAAAGAAAGAGGATTACTCAACACCAAAGGCAATGCCATAA